CAGGGAGTAACTCTAAGCTTACATTAGTTTTACTGGATGTGGTGAGTGTTTTATTACACTGACTTTATTTTCATATTTTACTCACAGGGTAGAGTGATCGGTATTTCCTTAAGAATTTCTTTGAAATTGTTCTTTTCGGGGAAATAGCAAGTATTTGTTTGCAGGGCCGGATCTTATATATTTACATATATATGTAATTTATAAATACGAATAATTACACAAAATTTTAAAATAAAAATGAAACGCTATATGTGAAATTAAAATGTCTATATGCAGGCAGAACGTCAGCCAGCTTCATCTCTAGGCAGAATAGATAGTTGCTCAGGGCCCCCAAATTATCTGCGTTGCGGCGGAAATTAAATTGTTTTCTTGGTAGGGGGGCCTCTCAAGCTAAGGTTTGACTAGGGCCCCTGGAAAGGTAGATCCGGCTCTGTTTGTGTGTAATATGTCTATAACATGTACATTTTTACTACAGATGGTACGAAGCAAAAAGTCACAATAGTAAGCTTTGCAGCAGAGCTAAAGTACTTTAGATCTTTTATTTTATATCCATTTTTTTTTCCTTGAACACATCAGATATAGGAAATGTCATTACGTGCATGAAACATAAGAATTGCCAGGGTTTCAGGCAGGATGAATCTCACTTGCTGGGTGAAACTTAAGGGGCTTTCGATGAAAAAGGGGGAATGACAGCCTTTGAACTTCAAGAAGAAAAAGTGACTCGAGGGAGGATTAGCAAGCAGGCACCTAAGGCTAAAGCAATTGAGACTCCTGACTGACAGAGAAAGGCGAGGTTAACAAGTATACTGTTCCTTTTTACCCCAGATGCAGGATTCAAGTGAGAGAAATGTGTTGAAGTCCAGACCAAGGTTTCTGCTGGCAAGTTACACAGTGCAAGCCAGCTAATGTCTACTAGAGGAAAGAGAATTTTTCCACCATTGAAAATAATCCCAGCATGAAAATACTGCTGACTGTTGGAAAAATGTTTAGAGTGGGGGAGGGAGTTTTTCCCTCCATTTTTTTGCTATGTGGTTAATAGGGCAGCACCAAAGCTGTCAGGCAGTGCATGTTTGCTTAAAGTAAAGGAAAAGAAAAATATGTGGAATTTTCCCTGGAAGGAACAGGATGGCATTACTAATGCGAAGTGAGCAGTCATCCAGCAATGATCGTGTTCCTGTCATATCCCTACGCCGTCATTTAACCTTTGAGGAACGGAAGTCCTAGATTTGAAGTCCTAGGCCATGACAGACGTATTCCTTCCTCTGCATTGGTAAGCGCTAACAGAAGTATGTGTGCAACATCGTGAGGAGCCAAAGCACAACGTGATGAAAAACAGAACCGGAAGATCTGCCTTGTAGCTGCAAAAGAAGGGCCGCAGAAACGATTTATACAAAAGAGGGAGAGAAAGTGTCATCCAGTATCTGTCTCAGCCACACAGAGCATCTTTTCCCCACTAATGAAGTCCAGCCGAAGAATAGCTTTGTTTCTGTTTGTCTTTACAAATTATTTGCCCTTAACATACTTTTCAGCTGAGTCGCAGCATCACATCTGGGGAGAAAGTGATATACGTGCATCTGCGATGTGGACCAAAGCCTTAAATCGTTAAGGTGTTTCCTCGACGACATGAGGCTTAAATTATACGGACTCTGCTCCCTTCACGTATAAAGAATGGTGACATTCTTTTATGGAAACCGTCCCCTGATTTGATCTTGTGAAAGGAAGTTAGAGGACACATTCTTAGAGCGAATTGGCCAAGAAGACAAGGATAATAGCCAAGAATGTGTGTTTTTTTTTACAGTGCTGTAAAACGCTGGCTATTTTCCATTTCCAGCATGTCATTTATAGTCTTATAATGGATCCAGCCAAGAGCCGAAAAGACTTGTTGTGCTGATATTTTTGAGAGCACTTCATTTGATGAGGTGTTGAAGTAGGTCTTTATCTTTTTAACTAAAGCACACTTCCACAGGCAGATATTCTGTACGTTGCCCTGTTTGACTGACTACAGGGTGTCTCGGGTTTGGTCAGTCTGTTTCAGGGGGATAGACGTGTGGACTGGGCTCCGATAGTACCATTAGATCATGCTGAAGTCATGTTTTTGACACTTTGAGGGTCGCATGCTTGCATTAATGAAATAGGTTCCTCGCCCACTTTCTCCGTTTATTGCTGGTTGCTTTCAGCTGCTGGTCTAGGGCACTCTCGCCTGCTTTCTGGCCCAGATGGGGTTCCGTTCCCTGGGGGCCTGTACCACTTTTCCCTGCCCTGGATGATTGACGCCAGCATGTCTGGTGTGATGGCCGTCAGGACACGCCCCCTCACTGGCCTTTTGCAATCCTGCAGATAGAGCCAGCCGCTCAGCCCAGTACGCAGAAAACGGGTGGCGCTAACAGCCCCCCGGCCTGTGCTGGCTCTGGTATTCGCCAAGTATAACGGAAGTAGAAAAACACATGTTTATTTATTTATTTTATTTATTTATTTCAGTATCCGTTTCTCCGTAGCCTGATTGGAATCTGGCCCCTGCCATGAAAGTCTGTGATGATTAGCCACCCTGATACCCTCACCGCCTAGTCCGCTGGGAATCTTCTGGAATTCTCTTATCAGCTTCCTGGCAGCATTGCCTGACTCGGGCCACAGGACTGATCTGAGACTCCCCCAAGCTTATCGCGCGGAGAGTGGCTCCGTGGAGCTGTCACAGAGGTTCCCTTCCGGGTTTATCTTCTTGTTATAGCTGTAGATTTTTGGGGAAATTGGGAAACACTCCAAGAAGACGTTCCTAGACAGCAATGAGAGAATCATAGACATTAGCAAAGCAAATAGGTTGATCGACTTTGAATATCAAAGAGAAATTCAGTTTGGTTGTGGATTACGCACCGGCGCGATTAAATGAGTTGAGATTATGGTGCTCACTTACTTTTTCTCCTTCTACTTAAAGAGGAGAAGTATGTCTCAGTGCAACCCTACACCAGCCAAGGAAAGGATGAGATTGGGTTCGAAAAAGGGGTTACCGTGGAGGTCATCCAAAAGAACCTGGAAGGTTGGTGGTATATCAGGTGAGAGCCCCTATTCTAGGTACCGTGATGCTGACCAATGGTTCTGCTAAGGTGGTTTGATATTTTTTGATTTATTACTATTTGAATGTTGTTTATTATTTATTTGCATGTGGGTTAAGTACAAATCATTTTCAAACCCACATCCCTGTCAGAAATAATTAAGTAATCCCTCCCATTAAAGAAAAATATTAATTGAAAAGAAAGGTACCTCTGACTCATTTGGCAATATTGTTATAGTTTTTCTTTCTACAATGTAAATTCACGCCCGGTTGTGATGTGATATCTCGTACACTCCTACATTTCATGGTCTGCATTTCCTGTTTAATCTTTGGCTTCTGTTTTCTGTTTACTTGCCCCTTGGGGCATTTCCACACTGAGCTATTATCCTTGGTTTTGTTCCTTTCTTCAATTTGTGGCTTTTAAGGTTGCAAACCCAACCACCCCCTGTAATGCAGAAAGACATCTGAAGAACATTTAAAGCCTTTGAGCCAAAGATAAATGTTTGGTAACGCTTTACGTAAAGCACTCATGTATAATGCATTATCGCTACTTTCATAACACATTATAATGCATTCATAAAGTATTATAAACACAGGTATAGCTAGTTATAAAAATGCATAACATATTATAGCCATGTTTATTATGCATTATGAATTCTCTATGAATCTATAATGCACTATAGATATCTTAATAATGCAGTACAAAGCATCCTTAATTCTTATACTGACCATTACAATGCACTGTGAAGGTATCTATAGTGCATTATGGATGAGAGCATCATAGAGCATTCATAATGCATAATTAACATGACCATAATATGTTCTGCCTTTTCATAAATAGTTACAGCTGTGTTTATAATATATTATGAATGCATTATAATGCATGAAGGTATCTATAACGCATTGTACAGTAAAGTGTTACCAAAAGTTTTATTCTGCAAAAGTTGCTTGTTGAGCACTAACTGAATGAATGCTCTCCCTCTTAGATACCAAGGCAAGGAAGGATGGGCCCCAGCTTCCTATCTCAAGAAGCTGAAAGATGACCTATCCCCTCGCAAAAAGACCCTGACCGGCCCCGTGGAGATTATCGGCAATATCATGGAGATCAGCAACCTCCTGAACAAGAAGGCGGTGAGCGAGAAGGACGTGCAGACGGACCAGGAGCCCGAGGAGCCCCATGTCACCAAAAAGGAGATCAGCCTCCCCATTCCTTGTGAGGACCCTGGAAGCGGTGGCAGCAGTGGTGGCGCCGCCCTGCTGGACACCAAGCCGAAAGCAGAGCCCAGCTCCCCAGCCATAGCCCGCATTGCTCCTCACAGAGTGGAGATCGGTGAGCATCATTAACAAACCACAGGGCTCTTAGGTGCTTTATTTAATTCATGCATGATGTCTTATTTACATGGGTGGGTAGTTAAGGTCCACATAGTGCAAATCCAGATCAGGATTTTGTTCCAACCAACCAGTTGAGCACAGAGTCATTTTCACAGATACTCAAGTCGGATGGTTGAAACAAAATCTTGGTCTGGATTTGTACTTTCTGGACCTCTGCTTATTGACGACAATGTACTAATTCCAGATTTTGTAAGTTTCTGCAGTTTTTAGGAGTTTTTTTTTAATAATTCTTGGATAAATTTGAAAACTCTCATTAATATATATTATTATTGCTATTGTTGTTAGTAGGAGTAATAATTTGTTTATTTTTGCAGTATTTCAGTAATACAACAAATTTATTGACCGGTGTGTTTATTGGATTGATTTGCCGTGAACATGTTTATATTTGCATTTTTTAAGGATCTCCAAACCTCAGACAAAAACCGCCTCCACGAAGAGAAACAAGCCTGGTCAGTCTCTTACTTATATTTCTCTTGGGTAGGATAATATTCAAATAAAAGTGGAACACAAGTGATCGTATGCTTATTTAAATCCCATTTCAATTGTTCTGAAGGGATTTCAGTTGCCAAAACCACCAGAGCCCCCTAGTGTCGAAGCTGAGTACTACACCATTGCGGAGTTCCAGTCCTGCATATCTGACGGCATCAGTTTCCGCGGAGGACAAAAGGCTGATGTGAGTGTGATGGCGCTGTATACCAGGCCATGATAAGCTTAAGGTTTCTCATAATGAGGACATTATTTTCTCTCTGCATGAAATTTTTGCAAAGCTAGAATATTTGCTTCTTGTATTATATTACATGCGTTTGGCTTGTAATCTAGAAAATTCTTCACAGTTTGGATGCAGGGACGGTATACATAAAAGAGATTTATTTAATACAGTCATACAAACGTTTTTTTGACACAAATAATATATGACACGGCTAAAGCCAATTGTTAGTCAACCACAATATCTGTACCACACATGTTTCTTTATGGTTTTTTTTCCTTCAATTTCATTTGCTTACCACTAAGGAAACTGGTTTAACAATTGAGCAATCAAACTTTTTGTTGGCATATGAGAAAACCCAGTGACATAGACATAGCCAGATGGACACAGCTGGAGACTGAAATTCACATAAGCTCTGAAGAAAGTGCACATGGAAAGCGTATCAAAGAAATGAACATCCATCCATTTTCTTATCCTGTTCAGGGTAGTGGGGGGTCCAGAGCTTATCTTGGAGGCTATGGGTGCACGGCAGGGAAGAACCCAGGATGGGGCACCAACCCATCGTAGGGCATATACACAGACACACAGACACCCCCCCCTATGGACAATTTGGTAACCCCAATTAGCCTCAGCATGTTTTTGGACAGTGGGGGGAATCCAGAGAACTCGGAGGAAACCCCACGACGACACGGGGAGAACATGCAAACTCCACACACACAGAACCGGAGACAGAGGTGTGAGGTGACAGTGCTAAGCACTGTACCCCCCCCCCCCCCCCCCCAAATGAATATCAATAATAAAAATATTAAATATGTAAATATTGAATACCCACTATATTGGTTGTAGAAGTACTATATATGATTTAATTGTAAATTGGAATAATTTGCTACTTGTCATTTTTTTCTGAGGTGCTAAGGGACTTAGTTAAAGTTAAGTTAGTAAAGGCTGTAATGTGCTATGCTGTTTGCCAAATATTTATAGGCATGCTTATATTTCATTATGAATGCATTATAATGTGTTATGAATGTGTTGATAGATATTTATAGACATAGCATTCATAGTAAGTGTTACTGAATAATTAGTCACGTGTCATTTTCTTTTGAGATGCTAAAGATAAATCTGTAAAGAAAATGAATTAATGTTCACATTATATTTAATTATAAATGTTTCCCTGGGCAGGTTATAGAGAAGAACTCCGGTGGGTGGTGGTATGTACAGATTGGAGAAATGGAAGGTTGGGCCCCCTGCTCCTACATTGATAAAAGGAAGAAACCCAACCTTAGTAGGCGAACCAGCACTCTCACCAGGCCCAAAGTCCCACCCCCTGCTCCTCCAATCAAGAAGCAGGACTCTGAGGAGGGAACTGCACCCAGCAGCCCGGCAGCAAAAGCCTCCGAATCTCCCAGCAAGCCCGTGTACGAGGAACCCGAGTACGATGTTCCTGCTATTGGACTTGATTTGGAAGCAGAGCTAGACTTCCTGAAAGAAGGGTCTTGTCTGGATATCAAAATCGATTACCCTTCAGAGAAGATCTTCCAGCCACTTTCCAAGAATTCCTCTGCTTCTCTTCTGCAGAGTGCGTCCTTCAAGGTAGGGGAGTCCACAGAGGATATTACGAAAGAGGAGGAGACTATTTATGAGAACGATGGCTTTAGGCCTCAGAGCGAGGACCCTGGCTCCAGCAAAGACTCCAGCGGTGACTCTGACTCAGCAAAGACGAATTCCTTTTCTGCAGCCTGCAAAGTCACATGCTCTCGGATGTCCTTGGGTTGTGGAAAAGCACCTAAGAAACCACAACCTGAAATGAGCAGAAGTCAGTCCCTAACCAAAGCCGAGGAGGCCAGCTCCAGGTCCTCCTTCGATGAATCCAGCCGAGGGCCCACTAAGCACACGGAGATCAGGAAAGATGCTGAACCAAAAATAGGCCAGAGCCCGTCCACCAAGCCCAAGCCTGTGGTGAGACCCAAACCTCTTCTGGCCAAATCAGAGCCTCAGAGCCCAGAGAAAATGGACATCAGCACCCTCAGACGCCAGCTTCGGCCAACAGGCCAACTGAAGCATGGTCTGAAAGCCTCCAGAGGTGAGGACTCAGAAACTGCCTCTGTCATCTCCTCGGAGGACTCTGTGTCCTCGCGGAGCACCTCTGATCTGTCCAGCATTTACTCCAAAGGAAGCAGGGGTGACTCGGATTTTGAGACCTCCTTCTACCGGACCACTGACAGCTATGAGAAAGTGCAGGATTCTGAAATTAGCTTCCCTGCAGGAGTGGAGGTGGAGGTTCTGGAGAAGCAAGAAAGTGGCTGGTGGTATATCAGATGCGGGGATACAGAGGGTTGGGCTCCCACGTACTACCTGGAGCCGCATCGGCCGCAGTCTGACACGGCTGGTTCGGAGTCAGACGGCACCCCTACTAAGCAGGGAAGCATGAGCAAGTCCAACAGCCTGGAGAAAAATGAACAAAGGGTCCAAGCCCTGAACAACATCAACCAGAATATGAGGCGGGTCACTCCACCCATTCCATCAAAGCCACCCGGGGGCTTCGGAAAACCCACTGGCCTCGTTAACGGCTCAGTGAAGATGAGGAACGGGGTCAGGCAGGTTGCAGTGCGACCTCAATCTGTCTTCGTGCCCACGCCTGTCAAGGATACCAACATCCACACAGGGTCCCTCAGGAGAAATGAGTCCCTCAACTCCACCGACCAGGTGAAGTCAGGCACGGCCGTACGTCGCAACTCTTCTTTCACCGTTGTCCGTCCCCAGATGGCCGATGCCAAGGTCAAGCAGCCGGACAAGACTGGCATGGGCAGCACAGAAACGCTAAGCAGGGTCGCCCAAAAGAATGGCATCCCGGTGTCCACCGTGAAACCCAAACCTATTGAGAAATCCCACCTCATACACAACAACCTCAAAGAAGTTTACACCTCCATAGCTGATTATCGTGGCGATGATGAAACAATGGGGTTTTCAGAAGGAACCAGTTTGGAAGTTTTGGAACGGAATCCGAATGGGTGGTGGTACTGCCAGGTGCTTGATGGTGGGCAGCCTCAAAAGGGATGGGTGCCATCCAACTATTTGGAAAGAAAGAAGTAATGTTACAAAAACATTGTTTAAAATTTTGTACAGTCGTTTTAAAGACAGTTGGGGGGGGGGGGGGGGCAAATCACCTGAAAAGAGACACTTTTAGTGCTGGTTTACTAAATGTACACACAAAGACTGTAAAATTTCAGTGGGCCTATTGTCGGTTTGAACAAGTAACTGAAGGTGGGAGGGGCCTCTCCGGAATCTCAGTGCATTGAGAGGATGTTGTAGTCGACTTTGAAATTAAAAAGAAGGCAGTAGCACCTTTTTTCAGAGGGGTTGATGATGGAGTTTTGCAGGATTGTGTCATGCACAATTCACGTGTTTTCAGGTTGCCAAATGGGTGCCTTTGTTGATTATGTTCAATACATACAGTATACTGAAGAGTCAACTGAATATTAATCGCTATTCAAAAAACACCAAATTCATTACTGTGCCAAAGGCCTAAGAGCTTAGATGATTACCAAATTAGTTTCTTTTGGAATCCAAAGAAATTAAACCTTAATTAAAAATTAGTTCTCAGTCCAAGAATATTTAACATGGAATTGGATCAAACTTGAGTTCTCAAAACTGCGAAAAGTAAATAAAAACATAACAGGAGCTTAATGATTTACAAAAGGGTATTGGTGTCTCAGTGACATCTGTTTAGCTCTGTTCATTGTTTTGGAAATGTATTGTTTGTTTGTAAGTGTTGTATGTTTTCATGTTTTCCTTAGAGATGTATTTCTGCCTTAGTCTTGTGACATACAGAACACACTGTCAGCCTAAAATTTGAAGTTGTTTAGGTCCTTGGGCAGATTTTCTGCTGTGATCATTTGTATTTGGGAATCTGTCTAACAAGCACAGTTTCCTAAAGTTTGCCCCATGTTTTTGAATTTAACGGGTCATTCATTAGAGTCTCCACAAGGCAGAATCGCTAACAACAGATCATGTTAAGTCCAGTTATGGAGTGAATCTGCGAACTTGAAATAAATTCATCTCATGTCGATAGCAAAGAAAACTAAAGATTAAGTTGCTTCTCGAATGCTTTTCGAAATGAAAAGAACTGCCCTACTAGTATCAGTATATGCTGAACAGAGATTTGGGTCATGAACTGAAAAAAAAGATTCTTTTTTATTTTTACCAGTAATTCCAGAAAAAAAAAAACATATTTTGTATATATTGCTGCTCTATGTGTTCGGTTAACACTGCTGCTGCAGTGGAATAGGAAATAGTTTACAGAGAACACAAAACTGTACTGGAAATACAGCACTCCCAGGGAAGTAGCTACTTAGTGTAACCCCAAAATGTGATTGAACCAACAATGGACATCATGAGAAAAAAAAAGAAAAAAAAAAAACTTTTGTGTAGCTTTAGTATTTAATTGGTGTGCACATGAAATACAATATATTCATCGGAGTACCAAAACGGAATGAAAAATATGTTCTGAGTATGTTGCAGTATCAATATCTGGAAGCACTTGATGTGTATGTTCCTAGACAAGTAAAACACATTGTCAAAATGGGAAATCTAATATTGCCGAGCAGTGATTGTTTCATTCACAACTGCAGTTGTTGATGTCTAAAATTGTGGTATAAAATTGGCAATTTAATTTTAAAGGTTAGTCATAATGGTTAATAATTAATTGATTAAAAAAAAAAAAAAAAAGATTACCAATATAATAAAATTCCAGATAAAGCATTACTTCCCAAATTACAAAATCAGTCGCCAAGGCGCTGAAGAAGATACTACTTCAAATGGCTGATGTTCAAGACTGCTGAAATATTTTTCTAATGAATAGTGTGAGCTCTGCATCTGGGTTAAGCACTAACTTTTCACTTAATTTCTGCTGGACAGTGTTAAATATAGTATTAGAAAAAGTACAGTGCCTGCTAGATAGCAGTTTTTATTCTTGCAGACAGTAGATTTGTTGTGTGATTATACACGGACAATAATGATGAATGAAGTGGCTCATTTTTGTAAATGAATGCACTTTAGAATGTTTCAAAATCTGGAGTGCATTACTTAAAGATGCAGTATAATAATTTGTCAGAATCAGCACAATATTTATTTAATAGATTTTTTTATTTATAATAATTTAAATATTTTTTTTTTTACCTGTAATACGCAGAATATGTAACACTGTCTCTCACAAGAGTAGTTTGTCTGTTTTAGTACAGTACAATATAGGGATTTTCTTTTGGGCTGAGATACAATGTCCTTTTTTTCTGACATATTAATTGGGCAGTTATTTGGTCATTTTTTAGGACTAAAATAAATTCTGTTGCCAGGCTGGTCAAGCACTTTGGCATCCTCATATAATTCAGGGATTGTTATTGTATTTCTGCAGCATACAGCAGCAGATGGGGTCCTTGGGTTGGAGCAAGCTATGGTCTTTCGATTCGATTCTTGATTTTTTTTCCCCAAGAGCCTCTTTAATTATTTGCAAAAAATATTCTGCAGGCTCTTGTGAATGACAGCTGTTACCACACCACATTTTTGGCAATTTCTACCCTTGGGAGAAACAAAATAAAAACCTCTATCAAATTAACTGTGCGTTAAACATTATCTTATAGTAATGCAGCTGTTTTTAATTATTATTTTTTTAATTTGGCATCATTTTCCACCTTCTAAAATATCAAATTACTATTGTAATGCTGTATACTGCAACTTTAGCAATAATGGACACTTCCTCTGTCATTATTGAGCTTTATTTAATGCCGGATTAAGTATTTATTTATTCCCAATGATGTGTTTTGGCAAGTTATGGTGAGACAATCATTCTGATTCTCTACCAGCAATATTTAAAACCCAAAAGCTGTAAACATTTACTGACATTCAGAAAGAACCACCCCAAAATGCAGTTCACCGTAGTATGAATGTAAACCCATCGCACATCTTCCCTTTATATGTCCATTCAACGTTATAAATATAGCGTAACATAAATACAGGAAAAGAGTGAAAAAAGACAATTTAGCTTGGTTTGTTGTGTAACCTAGACAGGTGCAGGCTTTTATGCATATATGCAACCTTAATGTAAAGATTACACAGTATTGACTTAAAATTGCAGTTTTGGCTGTGAAGTATGAATTATATTGTAGAAGACAAGAAAATGCATTACATATTCTCTCCCCTTATTCCCCTTGACGAAGGCATTATGTAAACGTGTTAAATCACTCAAATGTTTAGTACAGCACATATTAATGGTAATTGTGGTAATAAAATGGTAATGGTAATTGCTTTTGTTGCGTAAATAAAAGTATCACTGCTTTTGCTTCTCTAAAACCACAAGGGAATTTAAATTGCTCTTTTAGTTTTTGCTTAATAGTTAGTGATATAGTATTGTATGTTTTTCTTTTCATTTTTTTGATAGTTTTCCTTTATATGATATTCTACTCCTCTTTCCCCTATGTATTTTGCATAATCCACAATTAACGAGGACATGTGCAATAGAAAGGCTTCTTACCAAAACTTCCTTATTGAAATGCATAGGCTAAACTTCACAACCTAAAGATCTCCTATTGTCTGAGATGAACACAGGGAATTTCAATGTATTTGTAATTTAAAACGTTATTAATGTTTGACCTGAAACAATTTCCATTGTCATATTTTGATATGAGGTTATAATGACTCAGTGTCTTCCTTTATGCCTTGATGTGTAGAATTTTATGTTTAATATTAATGCATACAAATGCCCTCCGATGTTTGTCTCATAAATCACGGAGCTTGGGATTGAATGAAAAAATATATTGACTGACCCTAAGATTTATTTGAGGTTGACCCTTGCAACTGTCTAGGGAACTTTGAGTTACATGTTGTTAATTAAAGGCTTGAGTTGTTTTGGTACTTCATACATTTTTTACAATCTTGTTAAACCAAGTTAAGGCCATTTGCATTGTCTCCATCATTCCGTGATATTGCCACAACATTATCATAGTAATCTGTGAGGAGATTTTCTATGAGGTTTGTGTTCCTCTGCTACAATCTGTCTCTAGCTTTGTTCTTCTGTTGCCATGGTAAAGGGAGTTGAATCAGAGGTCAGGATGTTGCAGTGTATCCATGACGGCCGATTGAAATTTTATTGACATATCACTGAAGGTGTCTCCCTGGGATTTTTTCATCCAGTTTTATAAATGATGATGTCACAGTTTTTGAAAGTACCCAGTAGTGTTATTCCTGACTCCACAAGTCTCTAAAAATGTTTTTCATTTTCATTAGAATTCATTTTTTTTTTAATTATTATTATTTTTGCAAATCTTTGGTATAGCTCGGACATTTGACAATGGGTTTTGACTCTGGTTTAGATTCATGGGGGACTGTGGTTCCACACTGACGTACATGTGTATGTTTAAAACAATGGGGTGATTAGTTTATGTGAAGGGAAATGGATTGTCAGTCTTCATTTGGCAAGTCAACCAAGTAAAGATGTCTGGCTAAGTCTTTGAAAAGATGACCTAAGAAAGATGTTTAGCAACCTTGGCAGTTTGAAAATGAACACGGAATTGTATGTTTCTCTGGTCCTTTTCTCCCAAAACCTGTTGACCCCCATCTATTTTTTTTAAGCAACCCCCACCCCCAGTTTTAATGTTGCCAGTTTTTAACCTGCTACTCGCGCCCTTCTGCTAAATCCCAGCTTCAAGCCATTTACAATGGGATCGCTGCGCCTTTTTCGAAGCAAGCAATTTGCAAGTCAGCGTATGAGATGGAGGTTAGAGAGGTCGGAGAGTGCATGCCGATGGTTCGTGCTCTGTTGTGTCATGAAGTGGGGGAGGTGATGTCGGAGAGATGGAGTTTCGATGATGTGTGGGATTGGAGAAAATATATTGTGATGCAAGCAGGCTTTCATCATAAACACTAGGCAAGATGTAAGATACTGAAGCTAATGAACCTGCTAATTTACACTGAAGGAATGCTATCACTAACTCATTTTTTCCTCATTTTATATAAACATGCCAATGATTGAATGGTCTTGGGAATCCATAATTAGTGTTTTGGCACTTATACTAAAATGAAAGCTTTGTATTGTAAAGAATAGCTATATGACAAACTGCTGAGACTAATCTTACAAATAATGAAGATTTAGATATATTTCTATTATTTTTTATTTGTTTACTGGTTTTTAATTATCTCCAACTTGAACTATACCATTTTTGGTTTCCCAATAAAATGGAGGGAAAAATGCTTTAAAAAAAAAAAACAGTCATTGAAAGGCATGAAGAAAAGTATTTGCATGTCTATGTGTGTGTTGCTGAGGTAGATCTCTGTGGGAGTCTTTGTAAGTCTTTTAATGTGTCTTTGAGATGGGCTACGGGAATCGTTGAAAGGATTCCATGGGCAGAACGCGAGCTTACAAAGAGCGCTGCTGCTGGGTTAAGGCTGAGGCGGCCGTGTGGCCAACCTCATAAAGCTATATTTAACGTAGGAAACATTGTTTAATAATAATACTGCTTCTGCTGCTTGAGGCATGAGGTGGGTTGGCTTTTACATCTGTGCTTTTCAAGTCTGCCACTTTCTTACCCACACATGTACCACATAATTTACTCCAATAGGTTGCAGGACGAAAATGAAAAACAAAGCCTTTAATCTAATAAATGTACTCAGTACAGCTAAAGAAATCTGATGGAAATTTGAAATGATTAACTCCAAAGAGAATTACCGCTTCTTATTTTAGGTAAAAAGAAAAAAAATGTGTTGTGAATGTTGAGTTGTAGGTTTACGGTTGACTTGGGTTCAGGTGGGATTGTTGGGATTAAAGTGCCAGAAACCTTTTTAAAAATCTAAACCAAAGTCAAAACCAGATTCTGGGCTTAGCAAAGTCAGATCAACAAACCAAGAAAATGTTGTTGCCTTCTCACGGCCTAACAGCTACATGACATCATCCCACATTAAACAACTCGGACCAAATGTGGCGCTAACAATCTTGTTTGTATTTTTTTCTCGTTATGCTTATGCAATATTTTTTAAACTACAGGCGGCTCCTGTTTACAGAAAATGTACAAGGAAATCTGCAAGTCCATCTGAAGCATAACCAAATCAAGTTTGAGAAGTGGGATTGTCAGAGTGTGTTTGGTACTGGGCCAGATGTAGTTGCAGTTGAGTTTGATTTTGGGATCTGGATTTATAATCAAACTAATCAAACCCTTAAAATGTACATTTTTTTTAAACAGGGATGTTGCCGTTTACACTTTATTTCAAAAATCTGTTTTGTTTTTGATTCTTTTTTTTTGTATCATGTTCATGTTTACATTGTATCTTGCATTGCCCTAAAGAAAACACTATAAAATGTATTATCTTTGTTTATTGTAACTCCTTTGTCTTCTTTTTCTAACACGCACATAATAACAAAAAGTACCTGTAAATTTCATTTCATCGGTTAAAGTATAACAGCTGTCAGTGTGTCCTGTAAGCTACAGGGAAGCGGTTGTAATTACATGCTGTCAAAGGCGGAGAAGAAAAAATGATTGCGGCAAATTATACTGAACATAGTGTGGAAGCTTGGGTGGCTGAGTAGATTATGTAACACATCAGGAAAACGGCTTTCCCCACACTGCCGACAGAATCCACCCAGGAACATGGACATATGGGTATATGAGAGTATCTTAGTATTATACCAGTACTATTCTTATGTATGGTTCTTGTATATAAACGAGGAGAATCTACACCCCCTTTTTTTTGGGGGGGGGGGGGGGGGATAGGTTATATGGGAATATGAGTTATGATGCTGACGGAGATTAAAAAAAAAAAAGAAGGGCAACAGAAAAATATTTATGATGTTCAACCCCCCGCGCTTCTTGTCATGTTTTGTAGCCTTTATTTTCTACAAAGTGGTAGCGCTGGGGTGGGGGTGGGGGTAGAGGTCGGCGCTAAGCTTAGAAAGCCAAAAGGAAATTATGTAAGAGGTCTGTTATTGATTCGGAGTGTTGTCTGCCAGATTATTAGTATTTTTTCTTTATTTCTTTATTTTTTTTAATAACAGTCTCCCCAGAATGGATATTTGGCAGATAACATTTAAATACATGGCCATGAACAGAAATGTTCCTGCAATGTTAATAAACCGTGTCTTATGTTAGACCATTTAAAAAGGGAGACTTTTTTAATGCCTGGGTTTAGTTTGCACGAAAGTAAACAGTGCGTTACAAAACATGCTATAGTAGTACTCGCTGATCCATACTCCCGTGACCACAGGGACGCTATTTAATCAGTTGCCAACAAGATACAGCACATAACCACTAGGTGGTAGTCAATGACCTGAAGTCAACAATTGCAGCAGATTTTTTAAGTTTAGAGAATATTTGGGGTGCATTTTGAAGCATGTTTAAAGCGGTTTTATTTAATGATGAATTAGAATGTTATTAGTCGTTAAATTTACTCCTCTTTCTATTGCTGTCCGTACAGCCCACCAAATTGTTTACGCTCTAGCCATTGACGAAAATTAACCGTTTATCATGAGACGTAGGTAAAGTATTGGTCTGAAGATTTCACACCGCGCTGTGCTGTGCCTGGTGACACGGTGGCTCTGGGGACAGTACTCACCACTCCATCCTGTGTGTGTCAGGTCTGCGTGTTCGACCCGTGCTCTGGGAAATTCTGGCTTCCTCCCGCAGTTGAAAGGCAGTTAAGTTAATTCGTATCTCTAAATTGCCCACAGTGTACAACAGACTGGCATCCCATTTGGCCTGTCTTAATCTAGGTTCCCAGGACAGTCTCCAGCGCACCATGTACTCGGTACTCAGTCGGAAGATAGATGTGGTGTTTGTAGATGCATATAGTTTTCAGGATTAAGAAGTGAATCATTTTATATCGATATTGAACACTTTAAAAACAAATGCATATACTGATTTTTATGGATTGTTATTCTTTTAATAAATGTGAGTGGAAAGAGAAATACTGAGAAATATTTTAGTAGTGCTGTCTTGTTTTATTTTTAACAGAAAAATTGTCATGCTTGTGTTACGCATGTAGCTATAAATGAAATGGAATTGGTGCAAGTCAGAAGCTTGCTCTGCTTATTAAAGCTTTTTCAAAGTTGGTTTTGAAAATGATGACATATAAGTATAAAAATGTACCATCAAACTTTATAAATACAATCATACGACATCATTAATATGTTGCAATTCATATCCCTCCATATTATACAATGGTATTAAGTAATTTATAATAACTGTCAGCAAAATAATTTGTCTGTGTAGGCCTACAGAGTTTTACTGGCATAGTATTAAGTTACCATTCTGTTTTAAATATAATTTTACATGGGCTATTTGTTTTTGGATAATCGTTAAACATATTACTGTGTGCATGTTAATAATTATGAACAAACATGGCAGACATTCAATTTCTGCTACATCAGTGGAAGTTCCAAGCGTGGCAGAGCATAAAAATCACGATAGAGAATTATAGCAGAAACACATCTGGAAATTTTATTGACAGTCACAATCATCTGACTCACATAGTGAACAAAAAATACAGATTGACCAACTAGTTTTAAATAAACACAAGTTTACCGATAATTTCATTATTTGAGTCACAATACAAATTCAATGTTAACGTCTTCACTTCAGCCTGACTTTCATTTTTTAGGATAAAAACATCCTGTGTCTTGCCCTCCTCTCAAATGCAGGTTTGGGAGTGATTGGATTTTCCTGTTTTTGTCCTGTTGCTCCCTGATTGAGTCCACTATAACAGAGAGAGCGAGCGAGCATGAGGACATGAAAGAATAAATGGGAATCTGTCAAGCGCTCAATGTTTTCCTGCAGCGCGGGGGCTTTACGCATCTACTGTGGAGTGTCTGCACTTTTCATTGGGTCCATAGGAAAGGACATGCGCTAATGGTGCAGTACGAAAGCTCAGAAATTAGTCTCACAATATCACAGAAGTAAAGATTACCGAAGGATCGACATCAGCGTATAATGAAATAATGACCTTTTACTGAATTTCCGTAAAAAACGACACCTTCATTTTGTGTCCTTTTGCAAAATAAAGTTGTGTTATGTTGCAGAGCTCTTTTATTTTGTCCAAAAAAACACAGGGCATTTTGAGGTTAATGCTGCAAGAGCACTTATGGAGATCAGATGTGCAATTTTACTTGGGGTTTTTGGGAACTTGGGAACTCAAAGGAAGCCAGCAGATCTCCTGCTGAGTTAAGCTTCCATGTACCTGGAAGGTCAGTGGATGACACCTCAAATTGGAATAGTAATTAAAGAGTCATTGCCAAAATAAGCAAAAAGCTACCTGGCTCATATGGCCATTAAGGACAACCATTTCCCTCCCATGCTTCTGCAAGCTGGTCAAAGTCGTAATTGCTTTAAATGATTTATTCACTGATTTTGATTGTCAGTTTGATGTTAAGAACCTTAAATTCAGTGCATACCCTTCTGAACAGTACAACAGTGAGAAACATCTAACAATTGCAAAATAAATTTATGTATTTTATAGAAAGGAAGTTTAATATATCATTACTGACAAATTTGGTCAAAAACTTCTGAATATAAAATTACTCTTAAAACTGTATGATACAATTCCAGCTACCAAGGGAACATCTTGTTTAATAATTCGTAATGTACAATCTGGATTTCAATAAAGTGACATTAAGCATTATAGGAATTCAATGTTTCTACATAAACACTATAAAAATGGGTGGATTAAAAGTATAATGTTTTAGGAAAGTCTGTTCCAGACGGTTTTTGAAAATGCACCAATAATTAACTTTTGTCCTTCACAACAATTGCAATATTTTATCAAAGCAAGACTGTAACTGGATGGAAAATGAAACTGATAATAAAAATCCTGCATTTATGCTTTGCTGTTTGCACTATCCAATCAGAAAAGTATACTTAAAATGTACATTTATAAATGTACACTTAAGTATATCTTTAACAGTACTTGTTGCAGTTGTTATATATACAGTCTGTGTCAGCAGTTAGACTATTAGTTTATAGCTTGAATGAACTGTGCTGGAATTCAATGTATAGTTATAGCCTAGGCAAGCTTTCTTAAATTATATACAAACTTAAAACAAATGGAAATACATATTGCTATCATACTGTACCTATTTATTATGGATTGATTTTTCTAAAATAACATAAATTAACATTTTGTCATGAACAAACACTTCAAGCAAAAGCATGTACCTTTAAACATACAACATATGAAAATGTACACTCCTCGGTGAGACGAAACAGGCCAAACCCAAATCACACATTAAGCTTCAGCCCATTTTTTTTGCCCAGGAGCGTATGTGGGTGAATTTTACCATATAGCTCAAATGGAAACACATAAAAAAAACACTTTAGCAGCAAAAATTCAAGCCTCAACGCTTACCTGTACATTTAACGTAATTCATCCAGGTATCCCAAATAGTCTGCACTAAGTAATCTTGAGAGAGTTCATTTCAGGGGTTACGGTTTCTGTAGAGGCATCCAAAGAGCTTGTGTTTCGTATGAAGTGATTCTTTTTAATAAGAATATTGCTTGTTTTGCAACTGCACTTGTTACAGAAAGACGGCAAATGACATTTAAACATATGCTCTATAGCTATTTTTTCAACATTACAGGTATAGTAAAGGAAGTAACCTAAATAAAGGAAAGGAGCAGAATGTATGCCACTCTGATTTAGCCTACATGAATGTTTCCTTGGTAATAAGCTACAGCAGAAATCGCATCTTTTCTGAATGTGTTAAACTTTTATGATGCAATTTCCTGTGCTTTTCACCACGATTTCTTTAATATTATGCTAAGAGAGATGTTTTTTCCACACAGTTCTCCTACTGAAAGAAAGGTGTAAGTTGAAGGAAAAAGCCAGTCTTGTCATGTGTTAGTTTGCTCAAAAAAGCCTAAAGTAAATGGATTGTATTTATAACATGTAATTTGACTGAGATAAACTACGCAGAATACTCTCGTTGTGACAAGCAATTCACCAAAACAAGAAATCACCTACCTTTGAAAAATGACAGCGAATCGTCTTTCTGTTCCAGATTTTGACAGTTCTATGTAATAACTGACTGCAGCTGACACATTGCTGCCTGTATACTAGCACATATTATATATATTTATATATATATATATATATGTGTGTGTGTGTGTATACATACATACATACACATATGCACACACACACACACACACACATATATATATATAGTTTTTTATACTATGAAAAGCAACTGACACTATGACACTAATGGTTACTTTATTGTCCCTTGTTGAAGTAATGCTGCCCAAGGCAAAAATAAAAAATGCATTGTATCTATCCAATTTTGTGAGTATTTAAAATACCCTCTGAGACACGGCATTCAAAGGGCTTATTATATCATTAATGTGTGAAACCAGGGATGCAACACAAAGCCGCTCTTTAGATAAAAAAAATGTTACACAGGCTGCCAACACCGTCCATAAAGGAATAGCGAATGTGTCATTCTGTATATATGTATCTATTAGAACAATGTTTCCCAATCCAGTCCGCAGGGACCCACAGCCGGTCCACGTTTTTGCTCCCTCCCACCTCCCTGCCAGACAGTCCCTGTTTTTGCTCCCTCACAGGGAAGCAAAAACGTGGCTTATCTGTGAGAAACACTGGGTTAGAAGATTATTAGCACATTAAAAAGGATCCTGTGTCAGTTACTGCACAACCCCTCTGCTCTCTCGAGCTGTTCAGTTCTTGGTGTGCAGTCTTTATACTGGATCGTGACATTTTTGGTATTTGCAAGGGCTCATTAATAAAAAAGTTAAAAAATGAAATTTACAAACAATCAAACCCTGGTTTGACAAAATGGCCTCTTCCATTACTTAAGGCTTGAGGCTGCCTGGTATGGCTCCTATCTCCCATCACTGCCATGCTCATGAATACATTCCCTGTAAATGAAGCACACAGGTTTGACTACCATTTGAGTAGGATATCACTAGATTTATACTAATCAGCTTAATACCCGTGTTTCACAGTGTAGCGGGTCATCGCAGGAGGCTTCGTCCATTTTCGTTTTAGTGACTCCAGTGAAGTGCTTTTTTGTTGGTTGTTTGTTGTTGGCTTTGTTGTTGGTAGCAAAGCACTTTGTCCCTTTACGTTTACAAATAGTCTCCAAAAAGGTGCCCAGAAGCACAGAGTACATGGGGACTGCAACCTGCAATTACATTCTGTATAGCTACATATTCGTACCAATTGATGATTGGACACATCTCCTCTGTAATGGCGGAGAGGGCAGCAGTGTCTTCCACGTGATACATCTAACACTATAGAATAAGTGACCAACTGAGCATGTGACCATCACAGCACTATGCACTACAGCTCTTTGCAGGTATGGACTAACTTGATGACACGGCACCAAGAAGCAGAACACAGAAAGAAACACCCTCCCATTATTATTTGCTATGCACAACAAACTGCTTAAGTAACACATTAGGATATCGTGTCAATTCCGTTTAAAAAGTGACGCACCTGCAGAATGTCTGGAGCTCAGTACCACTGACAGAATTCCTGCTTAGGCAGGTTTCTGTAGATCGTTTTCCATTCTCACCATCATGTTTCATCTCCCCCAAGCACAGACAGAAGTTGTGCCGAAAGTTGGGGATTATTTTGAAATCTTTTTCTTCATATCTACCACAGGGGTGTTTTAATTGTACTTGTATGGATTCGGAAGAAAAGTCACACATCATAATATATATATATATATTCTATCCTCCCTCCTCCATTCTAAGAAATATAGAACGTGTAGAAAATACCTTATTTCCATTTTAGAGAGACTCACACCGCAGCGTAAACTACGCGGGTGCTAAGGAGACAGCCTTCTCTATTGTTGGATTTGATTGTTGCGCGTCTTTGAAACTTCCTGAATCACTAATGAAGGTACACTTTGTTTTCAGAGGAGGAACGAAACTCCCGATTACTGCCAAAGCTTTACACAGGCTTGCGTAAAAATTCAATGGACTGCGGTGTGCCGGCAGATCTCACGTCAAAAGCCCTCCGTGGAGACGTACCGTGGTGCACCAAAGTAATATTTCCCTGAACATGTAATAGTTCCCTCTTCACTTCGTGTATATTGTGCCAGTATGGTCAGGTGACCCCAGCGCCCCAGCCGGGCTTACGTACTGCGGTAAGTCTTTATAATGTCCTTAATGGTTCTCCTACATATGGGACAGCAGGCGTTGGCCATTTTCTTTAGCTTGAGCCCGCAGGTGTAGCAGAGACACATATGCCCACAGGCGTAAATCACCGTGTCGACCATGTTCTCGTAGCAGATGGAGCACTCGTCACTCCAGGACCCAGAGCCTGATGGGAAGGTGGGAGACTTCGGGAGACTGATAGGTGAGCTTGGAGTCGTTCCTAGGAGCGTGAGAAAAGGCACGGGGATGTGGTGATTCAAGCAGCTCGAAGAAACGGCTAAACAATGCACATTAGGAGACGCTTTGTTATCGGACAAATGGACTATCGCTTTAGATGTAATCCAGGTGAGAGAAGCATGACAGCTACTGCTAAGGTGGTATAAGTAGGAAAAGAGGGAAAATAAAATTGCAAACTTTGCTAGCAGCTGCACATTCATCTGTTTGGACATTCATCTGTTTGCACATTCATCTGCCTGCACATTCCTTCCACAAGCTGCTATCTGCTCGAGCACTGACCTCCAGCGGAGCCGCAGAATGCTCCAGGGCAGCTGCTGTTCAGGGTGAGCTCTGAGCTGCCGCCGCACAAGCCGGTGGGGCTGTTCGGGATGGACGAAGGGGAGCTTGGGGCAGATGGGCCTCGCGGATCTGCTAGGTGGGTCGAGCCTGGAAATACGGATCAAACCAATAAAAACAAAAATACTAATAAAAAAAAATTCTTACATTCTTGCACTTAAAGCCAAAATCTCTGACCACAAATCAGTACAGATATAATCTATTTAATGTTAAACCACAACTGTTTCCAATTAGGGTGTCATGAAGGACACCAGTGAATTTTTTTTCTCGTTCCAGTAAGATTCTGGATAGAGGGCCGAGAAAACGTCACCGCTTGGGATGTGAGTCAAATGTAAACACAGATGAAAGATAAACAAGACAAAAGCTAAGGCATCTTTCCAAAGGGAGTTTCTTATTGCTTTAATATATACAGAACGTATATGGGTAAGAGCTTCAAAGCAGCAGGATTTCCACTGAAAATTTATGAAGATCCTAAAGAATTTTTATGGTATGTATACGTTCAGACATCAGTGAAGGGCCTTGCCATGCTTCTGGCGAGGTGGTACTATTATACAGCAAATGTGGTGCATAGAATACAATACAAATACAAATACAAATACAAATGCATATAGGAATATATGTGTGTGTGTATTTATACATACATACACATATGAGAAATCATATTGTCTTAGCCAATAGTTACATTCACTGGAACACAAAACAGTCACAGATGTTGTTTACCGTCATTAAGAAGATGTTTATTACTTTACAAACACTTATGAAATATTATGTGGGTAATTATGTCTTCGGAATTAAAAATGACAGGCAGCTGAAAACTGCACACATTTGGAGTACATTAGCAGGCGCTGAATGTATTAAATATCCTTAAGATGTACTGGATATCACAGACCACCCTAAAAAAGATAGAAACGTATCCTCTTTCTATCAGTTTGGAAACAGAATGTAGAAGCAACTGGTCTGTCTTACATAGTTTAGGCTTGAAGTGAATCTTATCTACGGCAAGTCCGGACAGGTTCAACACGAGCAACTGACACAATGGTGTGTTGAACACTGATAGAATCAATGCTGACATTTAACAGCTGGAATGCAACTTGTCTTATAATTTCCACTGCAATTAGATCAATCAAGATGCCACACAACCATAGGTATAGATATAAATTCACATGAAAGTACAAATTCCTTAAAAAAAATAATTACATCATTTGGCAACCAGTAGTCCAGTGGTTATGAACAAAAAACATTGCACTAAAAGTTAGATGCAAAATCCCAGCTTTAAATACACGGGGAAAGGAGGAATATAGATCCAACCACTATTCTTAACATAATCTGAGGTTATTGGCGATTTAAAGGAATTTCACAATGAGGGACCTACTTCTTCACTACCGCTAAATCAGGTCAGTGTGCTGTAGCAGCATTTACAGAACCAGCCTGTCGTTTATGGAACTAGCTTGGAGTCTAATCTGAAGCCTGCTGGGGATGCTGGAGTTCTGTTTTTTTAATTGCTCCAAAACCAAAGTTATGGTCTCTGCTGGGTAGTCTGTTATTAGTCAGGGGGCGGTGTCTGTCGTCTGGCTGGACCCCTGTCAAGGCAGCATGCCGCCACAGCACACCCCCAACAGGTCCTGCATGTCATTCCTCATGCAGAAGAATCTGTGGCCTGACAGTTCAAACACACCCTCGGCACAGACATGCTGCAGTAAACCCTGGCATGGCTGTCTGCTTCCGGAAGGTTCCCTTACTTCACTCAGAGATTAAAAACAAGTGCAATGATCTGTGACTCACCCCCCCACCCAAATAAAAATGTAAATATTAGATAAAATGCCCCCTCCTGAATCATACCACTGAAGTAGCAGCGACAATAAAGTTGTGTCATTACTGCACGCGGCTCGCTGCGGTGATCTGATACTGTAACCCAGCCTGGGGGTATAAAACACAGTGCCAGCCCCCCCGCACAGACACACACAGATGTAGACATTCCTGTACACACCCATGCATATTCAGCTCTCCTTAACATGGTGGAACCATTTCAGGGACTATGAATCATCACTCTAAATATGCCTCCATGCCATTCTGAGGCTGGAATTAAGCGATATGATGAATACATAGGATTAAAACCAAAAAAAGACTCTTCGAAGAGTTCCGTTGTAGTCAGGTAAGGTACCAAGGTCCCAGGTCTGCTGCAGACTGCAGTAGATTTCTCTGTACTTTGCACTGTCTATTCTGCTCTCTGTTATCAGAAGCTCTCCAGCCCCTGAAGCGGCAGAACATCCCCATACCATTATTCGGCCACCATGCCGTACCGTAGGGATAACGTTCCTGAGATAACGCTTAGTATTAGCATCGCTCCACACATAGCACTTAGCGTTCAGCCAAAAAGTGCAATTTCAGTCCAATCAGATCGTGAAAAATCTACTGGCCTCAGGGTCGACCACATGCTTTTTCGCAAACACTAGCTGAGAGCTCATATGTCCGACAATGGCTTTCTTTCTGCCTCCTTCCAATACAGTTCAGATTTATGAAGGGGCCAGGCTATTGGTATTCCATAGGAAGCATTCCCACCTCTGCTATGGAAGACCAGGGCCTTTAATGCTACAATAGGCCACTTGATGGCCACCATACCAACTTCTCTCCTTATACAAATACACAATCATCCAGATACTTAAGACAGGCTGTCATATTGTCTCCCTTTCTCAACAGATATACACACAAACACACACATACATATATATATCTTATCCGTATATATATATCTTATATGTGTATTTTTTTTTGTTTACATCCTTCCCTAAGTGGTGATTTCCAGCAACCTTATCTCATAGTTCCTTCTAACATGCCTTACTCTCATACGGACTGCAGGCCTACACAGAGACAGGCGTATTTAATCTGAAACCACATGAAAGACGTAAACATAACACAGGTGAGCCCCTTTGAAATATTTATGCCGACTTTTGAGGATGATTCATTAGATTCTTGAGCTGCATCCCAGTAAATGGAGTGGAAAGCTGCTCTTACTTGTTTTAATTGAAATTATGTAGGAAACTTTTCCCTCCTCCTCCTCCCCTCCACTTGTCAACATTATATTTTTAATATACTGGTCTTTTTTTGTTGTAAGACAGGAAAACCTAATGATTTCCATTTTGTGTCACTATACAACACAGGGGGGATTTTTCAGAGGTACTGTAAATCTTTAGCTAATTTGAATAATTGCAACAAAAAAAATAACTCTTCTGACAGGTGAGTATGTTAGCATTGTTCATCCTGTTTTGGACACATAGTTCATCTCTCCACCTTTGATGGTGCCTCTAATACTAATGTGGCTGTTGAGAGCACAGATTCCACCCAGTAATTAAGCCACTCTGATGGGCTGTACACGACGAAAAAGGTCTGCAGGAAAGACATCGAGCCCAGTCGTGCAGACTGCTCACATTTTGGCAGCTTTCAAAGTATTTCGCTCCCACATGCTTACATATTCCTCTGAATCATATTTACTGAAGTACAGTCCTGCATTCTTCCAATTAAAAGCGCACCCCTCCCCCCCTCCCCACCCACTCGGCAGAACTCAGGATTTACAGACTCCATTAAGAGGTGGAAGGGCACGATTGATTTGGCTGTCCGTGTGCGTTCTGAAACTGTGCAGACCGGATCATTTGGCTTTTTTTAAAATGAAAACCTCTAAAAATACGATATGCAGAGCAGGAACTTGCGTCACACGCAGCTCTTTAAGCCTAATTAAAAGCAGTGGGGGGAGAAAAAAAGGACGGAGAGACGTGAGTCAGTCTTAGCTAGTCACGGCTTCTCGCTTTGTGGCATCGACGCACTGAGGGGGCAACGAGAGACGTCATGGTGGCGAGGGAGAGACCGCTAGGGAGACAGCGATGTTGGCGGGCGGGACAAATCCGAGACTGCCAGCAGGAGGAACATTAAGACTCCGAATGGATGTGGGAGGTGAGGTGTTCGGTTGAGCGTGAACGGAATGACATTTTAATGGAATACATAATGCACTCGGAGAGGTGCGCATAACGACATCCACGCCGCTCCAGAACCTCCCCGCCCACCACCATCTTCAAACCAACCCCCCCCCCCCCACACACACAAACTTCAAGCACATTCTCTGAAGAAACTTCTCAACCTCTGTTTCAAAGACACAAGATTAAAGCTGCAATCACCCGCAGCAGAGACCTAATGGAACATACTGAGAAATGCTGCACGGGTCCTACAAACCTCAATAATAGCGAAGCTGCCAACTCTACTGTTGACATAAAGACTCGGATCGGAGCCCAATGAATGAAAGGCAGGTTATGAGAGCTGCACAGCTGTCCTTCTTTTATTTACCATTTCCAACAGTAACCTCCCATTCTCAGTTTTTCCTCGTTCCATATGTTACGCTTAAGGTCATTTATCATGCATGGCTCTGGCTGGGAGTGCCAACGTTCAGCCGCGACGTTCAACGTAAGTCTAGCCGAGCGCTAGGAGAACCTCAGCGGAGCTGGAATCAATCAGGCCCCAGCGCCCAAAGCACTCCATCTTTTGCAGTGTGTCCAGCTGGCTCCCTCCTGCTTAGCTCTGCGCCTTCGTTTGCTTCACCGTTTGCTGATTTTGCCCTATGCGGTGATTACACACGGTGGCTACACGGCTGCCTGCGTGGGTGAGAGGCCTGAAACCACACTCGTTAAGTAGTCATTTATTTAACCCACTCAAAGAGTGAGACAGGGAAAAGAGGTTAGTCTATAAGTCTATAAGATACTCTACTGTAGGTATCACAGGAAGGTGGCCTGAATTGAATGAAAAGATGCTCTACACTGTGGACTAGCCGTAGACGCCGAAGAAGTGCCCTGGAGGGAGCAGTTTATACTAAATTACTCATGGCACTGGAACAAATGATTGGCACATTTATTATTTATAAATCTACAATCGAACTTTCCTTTTTCACATCTATCGTAGATGTTGCATCTTGCTAGAGTCGCGTCTATTTAAATTTAGCAAGGATCCCCTGTTTAGATCCAATAAAACATGCCAAGTACTTTCCCCAGCTGTTATTCTGAAAACATGCACACTTTCTGCTCCAGTGAAATATTCACGTTTGCTTATGGAATATCAAGTAAACATCGAGGCAAAATGCCAACAGGCGAAAGTATATTCAATTCTACTAATTACCTGTCATGGGCTTGCAGTTATCTCCAGATCCGATGTTACCATGTCGGCTGTCATCTGACAATAATAATACTGCAGTCATTTGGAAACAGAGCACCATGACTAGGCTTGTCAGAGTCTTTATAAAATGATCTGAAATGCCAGCATCGAAAGGTACTCGAATGGATGTGCTAGACAGGGGTATTCCCGTACTTAACTAAGGGTACTGAACCATGCCATAGTTGGCGTGTTTGAAACATGAAGTGGATATTGCAAGTAATGTATTCAAAGAGCACTTATCAGAAGCCTGGCAGGAACACGACGGCTACAGCAGCCCTGTCATTCTCCTCCGTCTTCCTGAAATGCCCAGCGACTGGACCAAAATCCACTGTAGACGTTAAAGAGCCAAACTTTGATTGTTGTCACTTCTAAGAAGCTGACGTCCCTTAGTTATCTCGGATGTTTGAAGGTCTGAGTCTCTGGAGTGCAGCATTCATGGTACCTCCTGGTTCTTCTGACGTCTAGGTGCCACGGTAGCTCAGTGAGTGGTACTATTGTGTTTGCGGGGCCCTTCTCTTAGTACTCTGGTTTCTTCCCACAGTCTCGAAATCACCCTTAGTTTTTGACAGTATGCGTGTGAATCTGTGCCCTGTGATGGACTGGCATCCTATCAAGGGAGTCCCCAACTTCCTGACACAAGCTCCAGGGTAACTGCAACCCTGTGCTGAATGAGAAGTTATGGAAAATGGATGGCTGGATGAAGACATTATGCTCAACTGGAGCATTGATTCTAACAGAGAACTATTTATATTACACATGATCTATGTCTTCATATAAGTTAACCGTTTACCACTAATCATTGTGGCATTGTGATCATGTCTGAGCTTGGTGGCTATGTGGTGGCTATTTTACTGGTAATGTTCCTCCTGCTGGTAATATGTCACTTCCTCCCATTATACTTTAATTTTTCCACAGCTGCAGTGAACTGCTGAAAGACCAGCTAGTAATATAGAAGCTTCATACTTGAGGAACTGCAGTGTAGATGCAGTGCTTTAAATAGGGGTGTGGAATGAGCAAGATAACCAGCACGGTATTATTCGGCATTAGAGCAAACATTCTTATTTATTCAAGGAAAAATATGAAATAAACATCATAAATATGAATCTTATGTAACTAAATCTCGGCCTCTGCAACTCTGCACTTCCAAAAAGGAGACTAAAACACAGCAAAATGGACCAACGTGAAACGTGAGGAAAAGACGTGTCTTTCATTAATTATCAATCCGTCATTGGTCAAAGCACAGAAATCAAGAAGATTCCTGTCCACCCACATCATCCATCACCTCTCAGACTCATGCTTATGTACACATATACCTATGCCTATACCTATATATAGGGAGATTCAGGTTGTACTTACCCAATCTGAGACAGAAAATTCAGCGTGATTGATGGTTTTATATACATTAATCGAAAATGATTAGCTAAAGTAGAGTTGATCCACAGGGACTTACCCAGTATCTTTAACTGTGTAACTGCTCCATGTAAACCGAAGAACATCCATAGAGGTCGGGAGTTGTCCACGCACACCTGCATGCCCGCGTTAGTGCCGTTGTGGCTTAGAATGACCTCCCCTTCTGGGTTGACTAAGAACCCCAAGATGTCGCTGCTCTGCAATGGTGACGGTACCCTGCAGACGGCCCAGAACTCCTTCCGGTCCACGAGGGATTCTGGGTTGTAGGGCAGGTCGCTGGGCCGCAGGACGCTGGGGTCACAGGAGGTCACCCCATAGGAGAGCGACCCTGAGCGGGCTGGGCTGGATTTGGTGACCTTGATGAAGATGGTCTCCCCGGTTCGCAGCGGCCGACTGGTGAACACCAGCGTCCTTTCCTCGCGGGCGTGCTCCGAGCGGGCCACCGTCTGCTCGTCCAGCGTCTTGATATGGGCGCCGTGCAGCTGATGGAAGTGGATGTCACTGTCCAGGTGCGGAGGCAGTAGGTGACACTGCTGAGAGTTGAGTGAGTTCTGCGGGATGGGGCAGGCGGTGGATGCAAGGTGCAGGTGTTCCTCCTGAAGGTTGAGGTCGCAGAGGCTGACAGAGAGCCGTGACTCATCTGCCTCCCTCCGCAAGGAGGACCTGCGTACCGTGGTGAAGGAACGTGGGCGTAGACAGTCTGGAGGCACTATTTCACTGTCTACGGGAGAGAGACATGATTTCATGAAGCATGACTTCACTGTCTTGGGGAAAGATGCAATATCATGTGACACTACTTCACTCTCAGTGGGAGACAAAATATCATGTGACATGATTTTACCACCTATGGGAGAGATGTTTTCCATATGATACCACTTCTGCCTCTCTGGGAAGCTCGTATCATGTGATATGCTTTCAGTGTGTATGGGAGAGAGACGCAATTTCATGACATGTTTTCAATGTCTGTGGGTGGGAGACACAATATCATGTGGCATGATTTTGCTGTCTTTGGTAGAGGAGCCTAATTTCATACGACACTTTTTTACTGTCTGAGAGAGAGAAAAATAATTTTCTGTGACAAAATTTCACTCTCTTGGGGGAAAAATGTCATATGTGACACGATAGAAAAAGACATGTAATTTCAATTCAACTGAAGAAAGATACCGTTTCTAATGACATCCAGGGGGCGCTGTAAAGGGGGGGAAGTTAGGATGATTCCAAGGGCCCCTGACTGACAGGGACCCTAAAAATTTGGAGCACAATTGGAGTAGTCCGGGTTGGGGGCCCAATATGATATGCTTTCATGGGCCACAAAATTTCTAGCGATACCCCTGATAATATCATTCGACTGACCATGGGGGTGCAGCAGTTCCTTATATTAGTAAGTGCCATTTCCTGTCCTTCACAATAATACAGAAATCTTTGTGCTTCTGAAAGAATTCTAGTAATAAATTGTAATAAATTAGTTCTGTTTATCGCCGGCCAATACCCTGTGAATTCAAAAGAAATTGTATAAAATAGTCAGTAAAGTGAGAAATAGTAATTTTCTCGAAAAACTAATGGTGAACATTATTGCTTTAACCTCAGTGAATAACTACAGAGTGAAGTCAATTAATAAATTTTTAATTTTATCATCCCATTTTGCAACTAAACAACAAATGTTACTGAATTATTTTCTGTTATTCAATTCAACATTTGTTTGCAACAAATCCTAAAATGGGATTTATAATACACAATTTCCCACAATACCTTTGTGCTACAAATGAGTAGAGTATACAGGAACTCATATGACACTGTAAAGTGCACACGGTAGATTTATTTTACAGAGACCACTCAAATATGTATGTGTTTGTATTTTCCTTCCTCAGTAAATATGATGGAAAATACATTTTGAAGGATTTCGATGGATCATTACTTTTATTTGCAAATATAACCATTTAGTTTGGACGGGTTGCAACAACATTATGGTGCTGGTTTAGGACATTGTGTTTATGAATATGACAGTCGCTGGTTCAAATCCCAGGGTCAGGAGAATGATTTCACTGTCGGGCCTTTGAGCAACGTCCTTAACCCTCCATTACCCCAGGCACTGGCTCACCCTACTTCCTCAAAAATGAATGTCACTTTTAATAAAAGCTTCTGCTAAATGCTTTGTATAAATAAACATGATTTACCTCCCAGAGGTAGTGTGAGTGTCTACATTGCAAACACCTAAAAGTAAGCATTACTACTGTTTAAATATGGATCTCCGCTGCTTCAGAGAGTCAAACACATTCCCAGGGTTCCACAGTCTCCTGTTTCACTTTGCCGTTTTTATCTGCCAAAAAACGAAGCCCCCTCTGACTAATCATGTGTAGTGGTGTGTGAGCACGATATTACACACACCCCGCAGACGGCTCCGCTGTGGAAAACGATAGCTCTTCAAGAGAATAAGCTAATTTTAGAATCAACTGTGAATCTGCGGACATTTAGATAGGCAACATCTCTAATTTCAACCTCCACCGCTCTGTGGTAGGATAAAATTAGGCTAACATCCAAGAGGGCTGTTTAGGAAGACAGAGGGCAACTGACGACATAGAGAAGGACGGCTATTGTTTGGCTGTTCTCTTCCGCTGGGTAAAATACTAAGTTTCACACCCCAGCTCCTGCACTCAGACTGGAGAAAGACAAGCCCTTTTAAGGTAAACAGTCAACTCTGGTCACCAGTTAACTGCTTACCTTAAAATACACAGTTAAAGCACAAAGCCCACTCCTTTTATAGGCCGTGTGCTGCAGTTTTAGAGAAACATTTAGCTTTCAGCCTTTACATTCATCTGTAGATGTGATGCAGAGTGATGACTCAGTGTTTGGCGCCGTCGCTTCCCTGCTCCTCCAGACCCAGATTCATGTTTTTTTTTCCCAGTACTGTCTGGTGTTTTCACACTTTCCAGAGATTTGCCGTCGAAGCGACGCTAAACTTCACCTATTTCCCGTATTGGATTGCATCTTGCCTTATGCCTATTCTTTCATTTTCGATAAAATGTAAAATGCCTGTGGACCTCAACTGCTTCACAAATTCCATCCATTTCCAAAAAAACTGCTCATCCAGGGGGAATGATAATCTAGGACCTCAGCATTTCTCTTTGCCTTTATCTTGTCGTTTTTTTTTTTTTTTTTACAAAAAATGTAGATATCAGAATGTTTGAAAATACAGCAGCAACTGAAGTATGCAACGCTAATCAAAAATGTTAGCGATAAAAGGGTCAATAATTTTATGTTTATTACTAATTTTGTAAGCAAAAATTCTGTGTCAGTGTCTCAGTTTTCTCTATAATTTTACTGTAAAATGTATCACAATGGTATTTCAATACTTTTCAGCTTTACTTGTTTATCTGTTTGTTTGTTTATTTATTGCCAACAAGGTCTCTTTTAGCATTTTTTTCCCCATAAAATGCCTGTTTCTTTGAGGTCCTGCTGCCCCACAGATATTCAGCTTGTCTGTGCCAGTAACTGGTGTTACTGGGAAAACAGAATATATCACAAACTTTGCACCTCATGGTGTTACATAACTTAATAAGAACTGGGTTGCTAAACAGCTCCAACTGTGAGTATAGTTATCAAATAATATACATTTGTTTTTATTTATTTGGCAGGGTTAGGGATAGCTATGCTTTTTTATGGAAAAGAGCATAAACACTAACAGGTAATCAGTGTAATAACACTGCTACCGTTGTGAGATGCACACAATATTATTCTGTGAAAAGTTAATTACAGTTTGACAACTCTCCCCATGTCTGATTTTATCACCTAGTCACATGCAGGGATTGCCAGAAACTCCCACTTTACTTATCGGCTATTTTAGGGGAAATGGTCACATGCTGCCATTTAAAAGGGACTGACAAGATGAAAGATGCACAAACATGAAATACACAAATATCATTGTACTGGTTAATACAGAAATATTTTCCTGTGAAGTGGAGACCAGGCTGAAAAAAGAACTTATTAATATTGCCTGTTGTAATGAAAGGGCAAAACAAGGACTTTTGTCTGGTCTGTCGTTCCATGCATGTAATGATTAAGTAAATGATTGCAGATATGAGCTTATCTTGTCAGGAATGTAAATTTTATTTTAAGCTTGGAAAAGGGCTGGGATTAATAAATCTGGAAAATAATTTAAACAGGTCATAGGAGAATTAGTGTTCGGCAGAGACATTTGTGCTATGGGGAAAGTCTGTGCTGTAACTGCTTGTCTCCAGTGAGGAAGTCAGAGCCACAGATAATCACTGCATCTTCATGTTGCCTACTAAGGAGATTAGGGTCCAATCCACAAAGAAAAGCCTTTGACATTAGGATATTTTTAGGAGTTCCAACTCCTAGCAGATTCCCATTTATTCTTCCAACTGCCTTAAGCTGGAGTTGACAAAGTGTGGTCAGGTGTCATATGAAAGCTAATGAAAGTGATTCCGTTCTGTATGTAACCTCATTTACGCAACGCTTAACCTGAGCTGAGCTTCACGCTTGAGCTGCTGAGGTCAGACACACCCAGTGACTGCAGAGAATTTTATCCTACCTTAAGCTTTCTCCTTTTAGTTGACTTCATAGTGACATAAACTTTTTTTACCTTTTCTTTTCAACTTTAAGTTTTGTAAGGTGTAAACGTTACACCTTGCTTAACCGCTGCACCTTAAGATCAGCCTATACCCTAAAAAAACAGACATATATAAATGACTATATGAACTAATACTACCATGCATGTTATTTTACTCATATCTTTTCATTCTAATTTTTGAGTACAATCATTAATAGCTGCATGCGGCAATATTTTGACAAACTCATAATAATGTATGATAACTCATATATGTTTACGAATCATAAACAGACAACTTCTAATGTTCCATAAGGCTACAATGCCAGAGATCACAGGGACTCAGACAGAGCTAAATTCTGCTGTAAGATGTCGTATGTTCTCAGCGCGCAGTGCAGGGATGAGACAGCATTAAATTAACTGGCCTGACAAGACAGACCAGTCCCTTGCAGACACAGCAAAATGAGAGGGAAGAGACAGGATGCTGAGAGTCACCCTGCCAGTGATGACACTTCAGATTTGAGCCTGGCCGCTCTCTTCAGCTCAATCAAACATTCTCCTGTCTGGGTCATACTGCCCCGAGGTACAACCGAGAAAACGGCCATAAATAAGGGACCTGGGCTTGTTCGCAGTTTGCCACTGCAGTTTCGAATAATCCTGTGAAAATGAATAGATCCCACTCACATTAAAATTCAGTGTGACCAAACGGCCTTCACACATATATTATTCATAACATCAAAATAAGATAAGGCTCTGGAAGCAGGCAAACATAACATGTAAAAACAAGCAAATTAAGTTTCCGTGTCACCTGTTATCTGATTCTGGCAATACAGTTGTTCCATTTTCCAGATATATTACTGCTACGCTACTGCTTGTCAGCATGGTGAATAAATTGGGCTTGAACTGATTTATTTCCCCCCATCTATTACATTTTATGATTTTGCGATTATGGTCCGTGAGAATTTCAGCGTCTTGGCCTACTGACATCTGGAAAGTTTCAGAGTTTGTTTATGCTAATTTTGTATTTTTTTTGCACTAATTTTATCCTTCTCCCTGCAAAACCAGACCTTAGCACCCATCAGCGGCGTATCTTGGGAAACGAACGCAAGGGTCACTGATTGCTGTCGAGATAAAGAAATGCAAATCGCGCCTTTGTT